CGGCTCTTACTGGGGAATATCTGAACTGTTGGAACTAAGGATTGTAACTCATCAGAACATTGGCCATGGAAATAGCGATTGAGTAACGAGTGGCTTGCGACGTTACGCCCGTGGGAAATAGGCTGTAGAGTGAAAAATAATTCATCACCCACAAGGCCGCGTAGACGCTTTTGAACTCTATCAAAAATGGAAAGTGAGGACTGGGCAGCTCCAGAAGAGCTATAAAGGATATGAACCAATATCGAGCCAATATTGCTAACTAATGGAGCATAACACACAGAAGAAGACACTCTTTTCGGCGTGATCTGGCTCTTGTAAAGACAGAGCAGAGTAAAAGGGGGCAGACACGTTCTAGAGTCGTACAAGGAACAGGCAATTTTCCCTGCATCCTTAGCGATAGATCGTATATATCTTATATTTGAGGTTTTGAGGGAACTTAGGTCCCAATAGGTATGCAAGGGACACTCGTTAAGTAAGTTACTTATGGCTTTACCTGTTTCACTTGCCTTTATTATACCCAGGGAGTTTTAAGTTCTCGGAGCTCGCTTTTATCTTTATGTCCCCCAAAATTCAGTTATCTCTTGTTGTAAATATAAATTTCCATTTTATTCATATTTTCTTTAAAACTTCCTTGTTGTTCACATGATACGTCCATGGTATTCTAAGAATTCGCCAATAGAATCATATCATTGTCGCTTCTCCATCGGTGATAAGATTATCTTGAATCTTTACACAGCAGTTCTGCATTCTTTACTTTGTTTCTAAGGATATTTTCCTATATCTTCATACTTTGTTATGTTTCTGAAAGGCATCTTTTGTTATCTAACCTTTGATAGCACATGTAGGATTTATGAAACAAGTAAGTCAAAACTTTTATTCACCCTACTGTTTACGGAGATAGCGACACATAGCGGTAAGTGAAAAAATAAAACCATATCTTAGCATCAATTGCATTCGAACCCGGTATACACAGACATTATCTGTCCCAAGAATACATGGTAGTTCACAGATAATATAGAAAAGAAATCGTGGAGAGTCATGATCACCTACATGCTGAAGAGAAATGACAAAATAAAGATTGTCATTTTAAGAATGCCAATATTTGTAAATGTGTCGCCAACATGTCTGAAGATTGCTCAAGGTGTGAAACAGACAGTCACCATGCAGGGTTGCTTCCTATAGCTACACTATATCTAATTCTGATACTGAGCACACATCCTGACATAAATATAGCAAAATTTAAACAATATACTGTACACGCATACACATTATATCTCAAATGAAACTCGTACATACGAAACATTGCTAAAGAGGCAGATAAAATGGTCAGCCTCCTGTACCGCTCCAGTAAGTACCTGACTCCTCATGCTATCCTCTACGTTTACAAGAGCAAGATCAGGCGAAATATTGAGTACTGTTGCCATATTTGGGCGGGAACTGAGTAAATATCACTCTGCAGCATTGATAGAGTCTAAAAGCGTCTCTGAGCCCTTGTGGGTGATGAATTATTCTCCACCCTCCAATCTCACTCCCACGCGCGGTATATGGCAAGCCTCTCGCTGCACTATCGGAAAAGTGTTCGGAAAGTGTTCGAATAAACTACTTTCCCTGGTTTCGCCTGTCCAAACATTCACAGCGAGGACACGCCATGCCACTTACATAGTAGCAAACCACCCTTATACCCTTCGTATTCCATCGGTGAGAAGTAAGTTCTACTCAAACAACTTCTTACTGCGAGCCAATGCTCTGTGGAACTGACACCCAAGAGGATGATTTCCCGAGCATTACAATCTTAACTTATTCCAAGGTTAACGGTTAACTTATTCTAGGGTTAACGGTTATCTTCTATCCGAAAAAATTGTTTCTTAGCGTAACCCTCTATATCAGGTGGCCACCAGGCCTTGTGCAGGATGAACCTTACTACACACACACACACACACACACACATATATATATATCACGCATTAAGTGCTGGTGCTAATAAAATAAAGCTCGATAATAATATAAGATAGTTAATAATTTATATTAATAATAAATATAAATTTTTTTCTCACCGGTAACAACACTTTCATGCCCGATGCAATCGACAAGTGCTGATTGAAAAATTTTGAATAAGCACCTGACAATTGCATAATTATTGCTACCGGTGATGGGAAAAATATATATCTATCATTAATATAATATTATATTTGAGAAGCAACTCTTCTTTTATGCATGTTTCATTGAATGTGAAAGATATGGAAAACATTTTTTTTAATTTAGTTTCCATATGGGTTAAATAGCAGAGTAAACTGGGCTCTCTCGATCTGAGTGACAACCAAACGAAGAGAAGGAAAACTCTAAATTCCAAACTGTATGCAAAAGGAAACCACTATCTTTCCCAATAATGCATGGCAACTCATTGATAATAAAGAAAAGGAATCTGTGGAGAGCCATGATTGCCTACGTCCGAAAGAGAAATGACATTAAAAAAGGTAAGATCTGAATGTAGTATAACGGTTTTGGGCGGGGAAAGTGTAAATTGCGACCCGATTTCAAATTCTTGTTGGTTAATTTACAGTGTAACACCCGCACTCAGTTCGCATTAAAGATTTCCAAAATACTTACATTTATGTGTAACTATACATGCTCCATTCGAATCTGGCTTGATAAATTTGATAAAATCTACTGTTTTGGAATTATCGACAGTGAAATTTGGGATTCAGTCGCGTCGTTGGCGGCCGCCATTACTCGCGTTGTTTGCAATTACGGCACACGAGAACTATTTACGGAGACGCGTTCAGTTTGCGCAATGATACCTATACTGATAGCTATTCTGCAGCAAATGTATACAAACACCGCCCGTAATGGCTGCCCGCGACGCGAATGAATCCAAACTTTCTCTGTCGAAAACACCAAAACTGTAGATTTTATCAAATTTATCAAGCCAGATTCGAATGGAGCGCGTACAATTACACATAAATGTAAGAATTCTGAAAATTTTTAACGCGAACTGAGTGTGAGTGTTACACTGCAAATTAACCTTCTTGTTTAATTTGTTGCGTTTTCTTTCCACAAAAAAAAATAAATTGGCAAAGCCATGAATCCACATCTTCTTAACACCACCACATGAATACTGTTGTTGTGGGAGTAATGATAGAATGTAAAGAAAGACGATAGTAGACACGGTAGTAGGAGTTGTAAATGGCGCTATATAATTTTAGTGTTGGTAGTAGTAGTCGTTTGAAACATTTGTCTAATTTTTACAGAACCAATATTCGGATTTGAATCAGGTGCTTTGTAGAAGAGATGTAAAAGCAAGACGATACAGGGATACATAGTTCAAGCTTGTCATTGCCATCAAGGCGATTTACTAAGCTTAGCCAAATGTCTTGAAATAAATCGTTTTGCCTTGATCGTCCAAGCGGTGCAAAAGCCAGTTTTAAAAAACTATCTCCTCCAAAAGGTAGGCAAATATTTCTGAAATTTAAAGATTTTTTTCCATTTGATTTTATTCGCTTTTATTAAAAAATCTCAGTCATCTAGTAATTAATAATTGGGCCAGATACATCATTTCAATTAAAACCAATTAAACCGAATTTTAATGGTGGCAATTTTTCTCAAAAACTAAAGCAGGGTTAATTTTGAAATTTTCTCTTGCATATCTATGACTGTTGGCTCCAAACATGTAAAGTCTTTTAAATTGCTGTCGATTAAGCATTTGTGATCACGAATATCAAATGTTCTTTTAAATTTTCTAAATCTTAAGAAGGATTTCAGTTTGCTATGTAAATTCATTCTAAATTGATCCCCCATTACACAACACCCTCACCAAAAATGTGATTCATTATATGGTGGCTTCACACTTCCGGTTTCAAAACAGCCGTGAAATATGAATTTAGAACACATAATTTTTCTGGTTTGAAAAACTTTTCATCGTTCTCCTCCTCATATTTTTCTTGGGACCTTATTTGATCTGCAGAGTCGACTATACTTTTTCTATAATAGCCGTGTTGTAATATCTTTTATGGAATAACATTATCCCTTTCCAGACCAGAGTCGTTATTCATGTAGGGCACATGGACACTAAGATAAAAGTGTAACATATTTTTAATAAAATCTGTTCAAATGTTGAATATGTCTTAAGGTTTGTCCACACGACAATCATACTGAAAGTGCCTCGGAGTGGGCAAACATTTAGGGAGGTCGGGCTAGGCCGGTTGATAATTACTGTGTAGACCCTTATTGTAAGTTCCATACAAATTTTACATTAAACAACCTAGCAAGTGCCGTAATATCCATCAAGTTAACCTAAAAGCATCCAGAAAGGAATGTTAATAATATTTGGAAGTAAACATAAATTGATTAAATTCTACTTAAACGCTTATTTATAAAAATTCAAACAAAAGCGTTTTCTTCACAGATTTTCTTAGAAATTTCATTAAGAATGAACGAATAGCTTCCCTTCATGTTTGTCGCGAGGAAGTTACATACAAATGTTTGTATGTTAATCTCGAAAATAAATAGGTAATATACTTTATCAAACCGAAAAAGTTAAGCCAGATAAAGCAGGTTCATATTGAAACCTTCCCTTTCGATATTTCAAGATTAAAAAACAAGTGCAACCATTTCGTTTTGTCTGCCGCAAGCGTCAAAACATTGCAATTCGTTATGAACAAAAGCCGTGAATGAATCACTTCCTGCATCATTTTTAAAAATTTTACATGATTTACTGCCATAATAAACTTTATTCTGATGGAATATAATTGGACAATATTCTTAAATTAGATTTAGATGCTTAATAATTGGGAAGTGAAATTTTTCTCTATATGCAAAAAAAAAGATGAGGCAATAAAGGCGTTGTTGAAAAATAATTTAAAGGACCAAAAAGTACGAAATTAATAAAGGTAGAGGCTCGTTGAGGTTGGAGATTTTCCTTAACACAAAAACCAGCATTCAGCCCCCATGCGACTCAAATCAACATATTTCGTCCCCCCCATCCCCCATATTTCCGTCCCCCCATGCGACTCAAATCGACATTTACGCCCCCCATGCGACTCAAATCGACATTTCCACCCCCCCATGCGACTCAAATCGACATCCCCCCATGCAACTCAAATCGACATCCCCCCATGCAACTCAAATCGACATCCCCCATGCAACTCAAATCGACATTTCCGTCCCCCCCCCATGCGACTCAAATCAACCAGTCTCAAATGAATATTCCTCTACCAGTCACAAATCAGCATTCCCCACATGCGTCTCAAATCAACATTCCCTTCTCACCTAGGTCATTGAGCATTTCCCCCTCACCCGTGTCAAAGAGATATTTCCCCACCCGTCTCAAATTAACAAGCCCAGACAGATGTTTTACATTTAACATATTGAACCAATCATGATAATTTCTGGGAATCTCTTGTTTGTTCAAGTTGAACTTTTTGAGAAACTCTACAACAGATGTTTGAGCCAGGGTTTTCTTATTGGTTGAGATTGGAGTAAACTGAGACAATGTCTTCTCTCGGTCATCTTCTTAAAAATAGGTCCAGTCACTGATTCAGAGATCAAACCTCTTCTGGTGGTACTGTTCATGGACATCGAACTGACTAGGACGCCCAAACTTCGTTGAAAGAAGTTAATTCTCTGATTTAGTTGTACTTTTACTGAAGACATTCGCTAATTTTTTTTTTTTTTTTACAGTAATAAAAAAAAAACCATACGCATATAAATATATGAACAACTAATCAAATATAATAAATTTAGAGATTATAATGTCATATCTTATGAATTTCTCAACCGTTAAACAAGTCTATTTCAAGAATTTAATATATTCGAATACAAAGGCACTCATACATAGATTCACTCATAAAATACGTATACATAAATACAGTAAGTATTTTTATACATTTTCAAAATGGCATCCCGGCAAAGTTCAATAGATAAGCTATTTCTGAAATATTTTAATAATTTTCCCATGAAGTACGTAGGTATGTATGTATGCGTGGATAAAACATATCTGCTGTTAGTACTATATAATAAATAAGTATGTATTTATACATATTTATTCAAAGTGGCATATATCAACATATGCGCATATTAATACACGCATATATTGGCACTAAAGATTTTAAAATATATATGATATATATATATATATATATATATATATATAATCTTCTTCTGAAGAAATGCTAAAACTGTAAATGTTAATTTAAGAACGCTCTGTACCCCTCTGTCTGACGACCGTCTGTAAAATTTCGTTATTTAATTTTTCTTTTTCATTCTTTCATATATTTATTCTGCTGATGTACCTATTAAGTTTTCTCGTCTCACCTCCAAATCGCTGCGGGTGGGTATTCAGACTCATGCTAATTAACTAACGGTATTTCTTATTTCTTATCTCGTTCCCAGTTTCTCACTCCCCCCGCTTCCTTTCTGTACTGATCTGTACCTGTCAAGATCGCAGTTGAATAAAATTATTTTCTTTTAATCTTTATTGAATTCACTGCCAATAAATCTCCGCCTGTCTAGTTTCATCCTTTCACTCTCTCTTTTCTTTTCTCTCTCCTTTTCTCTCGCCTCCCCCCGTCTCTCTCTCTCCTTTTTCTCTCCCCCCCTCGTCTCTTCTCTCTCCTTTTCTCTCACCTCCCCCTCCGCGTCTCTCTCTCTCTCTCTTTTCTCTCGCCTCCCCCCTCCGCGTCTCTCCTCTCTCTCCTTTTCTCTCGCCTCCCCCCTCCGCGTCTCTCACTCTCTCTCCTTTTCTCTCGCCTCCCCCCCTCCGTCTCTCCTCTCTCTCCTTTTTCTCCCCCCCTCCGCGTCTCTTCTCTCCTTTTTCTCTCGAAAATACCATAGATTGAACATGTGGGCAACGACAAAGTTTTAGGGAAAACGTAAACAAAAAGACACTTATAATTAATCTCAGGAAAAGCCGGTTAAAATTCCTAGGGCCCGTAATAAGGAAAGAATGCTTAGAAAGATTGACACTCAAAGGACATATTGAAGACAATAGAATTCTGATGGAAACAGCGGCCAACTTGTGCAAATGGTTGACATAACTAGGATTAGGAGTTTTTGTTTGTTGTTTTTTTTTTTTAAAAAAAAAAACAAAAACAAGACTTTACTGAGCGCCACAAAGGAAGAGAAGTTGTGTCGAATCGTGATCTCCCACGTCCTGAATGGACACGACACAATATTTTTTCAGATTCTCTCCAACTCACTCGTTACTAACATTTAAATTGCTTTTCTTTAATTATTAGTTATTAGGTACCAAATAAAAAGGGGTGTTAATAATTGGGAGTTCGGAATTTTTTTCTCAATATCCAATAAACGGGAGGTTCTTAACCCTGCGTTAATCAACATAAAATTGTTACTCCCCCCCCATCTTCCGGTGCTACTATAGTATGTCTACCGTCCATTTTCTACTATGGCATGCTGTCTATCGTCCATTTACTACTATGGTATGATATTTACCAACTGTTGGAAGTATAAAAAATGTTAAAAGCCCTAACGCTAACTCTTAAAAAGGACACCGCTTCATCTTCAATCGAAATTATTTTCTAAAAATCTCTGGTCTCCATGGTGCCGGTGTGATCAATTAAATGGACTAGAATTATTTTGACTGATGTTAGCTTGTTTATTTTGTAGCGGAATTACATAAATACCTTCTTCATTAATACAAATTAGATAAATACCTCACTTTTTAGTTTGTATGTAGTTTGAGAAATTTAAATTAATTTCTGTGGGCCGTAAGTGGGTTGTTTGGTACAGTGCATCGTCATTTACGATAGGTCGCAAATGCCTCGGTAAGTATCCTGCTATAGTAGCACCCATTTTTCCTTTAAGTACCCGTAATTCCTATTTGGTAACTTGCTTCTTTTGGTGCCTCTAACTCTCCTGACTTAGTGACGGTGTTTAGCATGTAGTGTGACACAGTTGTAGCTCAGTTGTTGTGGGAGGCAACGTCACCTTGTCTTCCATTTTCGGAAATCCGAGGTGACTAACGCAAGGTTAAGAAAAGAAGAGGTTGGAAAAATCATTTAAAGGACCCCAAAATTTTGAAATTAATAAACGAAGTGGTCTGAATAACCTTGAGGTGGAGACGTAAAATTCCGAGAAAAATTAAATAAATATCTTCCCCCGACTATTAGGCACTTAAATGTATCAGCTTTCCTTCCTTTTGATTCAACTACAGAAAACTTTTTAAAAAAAATACTTCACTTCAGTCTCTCGCTAACCTTCCCAGTACTTTGTAATTCTCTCGAAAATTCCTTACATCATTTCGTTAGTAAGGTTTTTTTTTTTTTCCTATTATTTTTCTTTTTCCCACTTTCTAGTAGCCATTTGTGCTTTCGTCATCTCTTGTCAATGTAAAGGAACCAGAATGGAAAAAGAAATAGAATGGAAAAAATATATTTTTCCTTTCTGATTTTTCAAGAGGAAAGTGTTTTTTTTTTTTTTTACTTTTTACTCTTCAGCTGATTTCCCCCGCTGCCTTCCATAAAAAAATTCTCTACGCTCGTATTTGCTCTCTGTCCTCATATCCCCCACCCCACCCTTATTCATATAATACATAGACTAAAAGAAGAAAGCATTTTTCGTTGGGGCTTTTCAATCAACGGCCGCCTTCATACATATTTATTTCACCTTTTTGCTTCTCTAGCTTACCTACCATAAAGTTACTTTTATACAACAAAAGAAGGGGGGAAAAAAGACCTTTTTGTCCCATTTTTACCCCAGGTTATACTTTTTTTTTTATTTCGTTATTAGTTTGATAGACTTTCCCAATCTGTACGCCAGGGCTTGCAAATAGTGATCGTCAGTAAGCCTGGCTTTGACGTTGTTAAAAAGCTACGAGCGTAAATATTTGCACATTTGCTAATTTTACAATAGACAAATAAACTGACAACAATGAACGAGCGTGAAGCAGGGAAGTTTTTACAAAATAGCCCAACTCCAACCATCTATGCTCACACACTGATATAAAGAGTTAAATAAGTTTATAGAATTAAAAATATACCTTTTTAGTGCACTGAATGTGTTTACTTCGTTAAGCCGTATCTGACGCAATCGTCCGAGAAGAATTTCTAAAGTATTACTCTATTCAACGAAATGTTTACGTTTACAATGAGGTTTAGCGTTCGATCTTGCGATGATAATAACGATAAACAAGTAATGCTGCACCTGTAGACACTTGCATAGCTGGAAACTAAGCCTTTCATCCATATATAGAGAGCGGGGTTCGAATTCCAGTCGAATCCGTTGCATTCACTTACGTGCTAATAACATTGGAGAAAGGCATTAATCCTTTTCTTCTCTCTCCAGCTATGGGTAAATAGCAGGACAGATCGGGTTCTATAACCTTGGATGGCAACTGTCCTAGGAGAAGGACAACTCTGAATTCAAAACTTGCGGAGGGTCGTTTGGGGACCTTGTGGCACGTAGTGCACCAGGTCTCTGTATTCGGCCCTTCAAAAAGTATGGTTTGTCCTGAACAAAGCCTTCAGTACTATAATCAAATCGTATATGCTAGTGTCTGGGCTGTCGGTTCCTAGGAACTGAGTTGCTGACGCTCATACGTCGAATACGACGGGAGAGTCCACTATATATATATATATATATATATATATATATAATGTATGATAAAATTATAGTTTTATGCTATATTTATGGTTAAACGTGCTCAATATAAGTGATAGTGTACGTAAATATAAATGTGAACACTGACATTGCCACTGACTTTATACTATATATGTGTGTATGTGTGGAACGCTCTGTTAGTAATGTCTCCAATGTAGCGTATAAATTACTATAAGTAATTTATAACTTTATTTATCATCTCTCAGTTGCGTCTCTGTTCTTGGACAATGCGCTCAGGGGCTTCTCTGTCAAAGGACAGAGTGGCAACTGAGAAAATTATACTGAGAGGTGCCCAGCCCTGGGGAACAGCTGCCCGAGGCCGCGCCCTCTCATTGCCCAAGAGGGAGGGATCTGTGCTCGCACCGAGACCAGCGCAACCGACGGTTGCGGGGGCTGAGAAGAATTTTTGACCCTGCCCTGGTGCACGCGCATGGGTCCCCACATTAATCCGACCTTGTGTCACATCTCATTCTCGTGGGGGAAAGATTAAACACCGTAATGTCTCCAATTTGTTTCCAGCAACCGCATATAGGCCCACATAAATTAAAACGCATTACTTTTTGAAAAAATAACATATATATATATATACATATACACAAACAATATATTTGTGTGTGCGTTATTTTTCAAAAACTAATGTTTTAATTTATGTGTTTATAACATTGCTGAAAACAAATTGGGAACATTGCTTTCAGAGCGTTCCGCACATACGTGTGTATATATATATATATATATATATATATATATATATATATATATATATATATACACACACAGTGTAACCGGATATAAGAGACTTTATCTCCGGTCCCGATAACTCTCTTATATCCGGGTTACACTAATATATATATATATATATATATATATATATTAACAAATTCAGTTAAAAAGAACCGGCAAGGTCCTCTGTCTTTAATTTTCTTGTATGGTTTTTTTTACAATTTTGGGATAAGCACAAAATTGTAGATAAATTGTTCGAAGTTATTCACAATTTCGAGCAAAATAATAGACACTGTACTCTTTAAATGTGGTTGGCGTCCAGTCTAGGAGGAAAAAGATACGTGTATGTTACCCTGGCGAAGCGCATACTATTCAGCCATTTAAAACCTTATGTAGTTAAAAATGCGGTGCGGAGTTGTGGAGGCTATGATCTGGACTGAAAAATTTCTATAATCTTTTCGCGCTGATAAAGTTACCACTAGACTTAAATTTAAGGAAGAATGTAAGCATTTTTAAAATTATTTTCTTAAAAGCCGTAAAGATTCGAGACAAATTTATATGGCACCACATTAGCATCATTTACAAAAAAAAAACAAAACGAAATACCATCAAATCCTGTTTGTTTCTTTTTGTTTCCTCTCTGTTTAAATGTTTCAAATTAAGAACAAGGCAGTAAATACTCCCAAAGTCTACATCTGTCGTAATCCGAGCCATAATGTTGTTTTGTTTCTTTCTCAACTGGTAAATAACGACTTTGATCAAGATGTATGAAGGTCATACAAAAGTATGGTACGTGCACATGGCAAATATATTAGGAGATTGTGCCACAAGATAAACTCCGATGTTCACAAACCAGATAAAGACGTTATTTAAAAGCTGTGAGACGATGAAGGTATATAGTCACAGATGTGCGTAAAGCTGTTCTTGTCCCTCATGTGTAAAATATTTTTAGTGGAGGGGGTGGATATCTGCGAAAACAATGCCATAAGGGTTACCAGATCTTCTTTTTTTTTAAATCCAAATCTTCACGCAAGAATCATGAAATGAAGCTTGGCTGTTTGCTCTACACATGTACAATCGCCAAAGAAAATAAATATCAGTATCACAACCTTGCCTTGAAGCAGTGTTTATCAAATTAGCCTCGCTGTCGAACGCAGAGAATTCGATCCTTACTCAGTGCTTCAAATTTATGGATTTATACTGGATTAAGCAAAGTAAACATCAATCACGGTATCTTGCAATCGGCTAGAAAACTCTGAGACATTATTACTATACTAGCATTAATCTACATCGGGAAACTTACACTTGCGTTTTAGTCGCTGGTTACTTGATTTTACCTGCCAACAGTGACCAAGATGGAGCAAATCAACATTTATTCTATAAGAGATATACACTTACATCATAATGATAAATGCTAGAAGAGTTTTATATCATTTTCATTATTCGTGGTGTTATAAAAT